ATAAAATATAAGTTTTCAGAAAACTAAACTTTTAAAAATTTAAATTTTCAAAATTTGGGTACAAAAAAGTTTAGTAACATACTTATAATATATACAATAAAGTTATATATATATATATATATATATATATATATATATATATATATATATATATATATATATATATATATATATATATATATATATATATATATATATATATATATATTTATAATATACTTATAATATAACATACATACATAATATAACATATATGCATAATATAAATATAACATACATACATAGCAAACATACAACATACAATATACAATATAACATACATACATAATATAACATACTTATAATATATATATATATATATATATATATATATATATATATATAATATATATATATATATATATATATATATAAATATATATATATATATATGTATATATATATATATATATATATATATATATATATATATATATATATATATATATATATATATATATATTTATATATATATAACATACTTTAATATATACATACTTATAATATATACATATATATAGTATACTTATTATATATACAATAATGTTACGTTGCAATCTTTACATTGGACTTCACAGGGGTTGTAGAAACTTAAAATAGAAAAATCAATGATAATTGTGATGATTTGAATGATGTCAAAGTTATTGACTCAGGGGATAATCATTAATGATGCCATAAGTTGAGGGAAAAGTTTAGAGTAAAAATGAGGGAGTCTAGTATCTCGAACAGAACACGAAAGGTCCATTATTGGTCACAATGAAGTATAAAAATGGGTTTTGGTAATAAAAGGATAAATTGTACTGTAAGTTATAGTCTAAAAAAAACTTTTTTTGTTTTTTCAATAACCAACAAACACCTAAAACATTGACAATACTACCCAATAATAGCCAAATAATTGATAATTCTAAACTGAAAATTTTTTGTGAGTTATTTCAATTAATTATGCAATTCATTTTTTTCATCACAAACAGTATTGCAAAAGGCTGACCTTTTGTGACCAGTGCAAAAGGCTGGTCTTTATTAGATGCTTTAGAACAACTATCAAACTATCAAGCGATCAATTATAACTTGTTTTGTTTTTCTGGTGTGCTCTATTGCTTAGTTGTGACACCTGCCGCTTCTTGGAAGTGATGTTCCACCAATAATTTGATTTTTACTTTCAAGGATCTCCATTCTTATTCTGCATTCGCATAAAAAATTTTCATTTTGTAATTTATACTTTTCTTAGTTTAATTAGTATTTCTTCTTGTACAGGCAATTCACATAAATGTATTATATGTAAGCATCAAAAAAGTAAACTTGTGGTATTTTCTTTAAAAATAAACAATTTTATTAAAAAGCCTTTTCCTCCGATTCAAACAATCAATATAACAATCAATTAATATAAGTAGTATGTAGGGTAGACTGGGGTAATTCCATTTTAGGTTTAATTCCACCCCCTAAAAAGATATGGAATAGTACAAGTAAACTAAAAAACTTAAACTACTTTTAATTCATGTTTTGATTGCCAACTTCCTGTTTCTCACAAAATATATGCGTCCTGTATCCATACTAATTTTGTTTACAAGACTTTTTTTGGAAATCCAAAATCATCTTAAATGTAAGTACCATATATGTACTTTAAAATATATTAAAAAAAATATTTTCATTGATTTTATTTCGTCGTTTATTTTTTTGGATGTTTTTAATGTGTACTTTTATTTCGTTTTACAAGTGTATTTAAGCTCAACTAAACATTAAATTTTTATAAATATTTCATAAATAAAATGTTACCTCTGGGAAATTCCCCCCCCCCTCCACCCTATTTGAACCTTTGCTTGTAAATAACCTTAAGCAACATGCTAGCTATGTAGTAATAAAATCTGTATTTAGTAATAGATATTTAATTTTCATAATTTTAACCAAATAAGGCAACTTTGGTCATCGGGAAAAACTCTCCCCTCTTTTTGAAAAACCAGGGAAGCGGCAAACTAAGTAGATTAGAGGAAAGGCCATAAGATGACAATATGGTGAAAGCCACACTTCAGATAAATTCATTACCAGGCTCCTGAAGAAAATGAGGCTATAACCAAGTCAATAATTGTATCCGTTTCAAAAGGGAAAGGGCAAAAAAAAGCATTAGTGAGTGATGCCGGAGACGAACCAATTTTATGCATCATGTAGGGAATAAATTTTGATAAACCTAAAGTTTGTGATCTGAGCGTTATGTGTGACCTCTGTGATGAGTGGTACTGCTTAAAATGCTTACAACTATCTGCAGAAGACGCCAATAATTTTGAATTTTATTGTAGGCGATACATTCCCCGCTAACATAAAATGAAAAAATACTTACTCAGGAATCCTTAACGTATATTTATGAATATTATTATTTTCAGGACATTTTTGTTCAAAATTTCTTTTTAATTATTATTTATCATATTTAGGTCATTTCATGTAAAAATTTATACTAAAATTAAATGAAAATGCATTAAAATTTTTTTTTTGAAAAGGGGTGGAGTTGCCCCGATATTGTACATATTTCAAAAAATGCATTTTGGTTTGTTTTTTGTTAAAATTTAATTTTACCTATATTAACAGTTTGCTTAAATGTGTAAATAAAAGGAATTATTGTACTATTTTCTTGTTTTTAATTTTATATAGTGTTTTTTAAGCATTTTTTAGAAGTTGGGTATGGAATTACCCCAGTTTACACTATGTCACATTTTTAGCGTTTGCTTCCAGTTGCCAATATTTCCAGAAGTTATAAATATTTCCACAAGTATTTTAAAGCTTATAAACAAATATAGTCACTAGTTTTAAATCTTTCAGTTTTAATTTTCTTTTTGTTAGAGTTACATTTTCACTATTTAAATTATCAAAATATTTTCTTCAACAACGTGCGTGGTGGTCAAAAAAGGTTGTCAACAAGTCATTAAAAAAAACTTTTTTTGATGAGTTTGTATGCGATTTTGAAGGATGCGCGTAAGTTGCGGAATGAAAATATTTTTAATGTCCAAAGTGCGGAAAATAATAGTGCCAGAAATTTATGCAAAAAGTTTAACTCACAATATGCCATATTAAGGATTTCTAAACCATCCTCTTTATGCCACAAATTGCGATTTGCCCTTCCAAATCATTATTTTAACTTCTATAAGATCAAACATACACGTATGTTACTCCAAACCATGGTTGAAGAAGTGATTTAAGGATGGTATTCACTGCTTTAAAAACCTCAAAAGTTTGGTCATTTTTTTTTTTTTGTATTCTGATGTGAATTAGTATAACATAAATTTATAAATAACTTGAACCTTATAAAAAATAATTGTTTGGTTTATTCAATGGAGTATAACTATGGGAGGCATTATTTTTTTATATAAATGCATTATTTTTTATATAAAAGTGTCATTAACAAGATAAACAAGAATGTTATTCTAAAAAAATTTTTATGTCTTTATAGTTATTAATATCTATAGATAAAAATACGCTCAAATTTAGATTTCAATGCTGATATAGCATATTTAAAACGATATGTTTAGAAACTTTTCTGTAATTTATTTTTATTTAATTAATCGTATTTTGTTAATTCGATCATATTTAATTAATTTAAAAAACTTTTAATCAAGCGTAATTTAAAAAACTTTTGAAGTGTTTGTGCAAATGTTTTATATATCTATCTTTTAATGAATTTTTCGTAATAATGCTATGTTTTTATATGACACAGCAGCTCTAATAATTTTTTTGAATATTACTACAATTTACGGAACTGCAGAATGTTATGCATGCGTGCTTAAAATACAGCACTTTCCGGCACCTTTCCCGCGCGATTGTCCCGCGCTTTGCGAATTGAGAATTTTAGAATTACCGCCTTCTTTATTTTCTCCACACTTAACTTTGCGTGAGGCTTCCTTACCAAACTATAGAATAATTTCATTAATAGAACAAATAAAAAATAAAAACAACACTGCAGAAAAAAGTAGAATCATAAAACATTGCTGCAGATATTTATAATGTAACTTCTAATACATAATATTTAAAGACTAGGCGTATAAGATAGCAATAGAATTTTGATTATACAGAAAGAAAAAAATTTAAGTTTGTAAATATTGTAAATATTGTGCTAATTTTATAAAAAAATTTATATAAAATCTAAAAATAAGATAATTATATCTTCATTTCGGATTTCGACTACATAATAAATAAAATAATAAATAAAATAATAAATATCATAATAAATAAAATAATAAATATCACAATAAATAAAATAATAAATAAATTAATAAATAAAATAATAAATAAAATAATAAATAAAACAATAAACAAAATAATAAATAAAATAATAAATAAAATAATAAATAATATAATAAATAATATAATAAATAATATAATAAATAAAATAATAAATAAAACAATAAATAAAATAATAAATAAAATAGCTATTGAAAAAACCAAAGTCGTAAACAATTTTTGATATATATAATTTATTTAAAAATTTTTAATGAGATATTGGTTTTATAACGTCAAAACAAGTGAAATTTTAGCACAACATAGTAAAAAATTTTCTAATGTTACGCAATGCTACTTAACTATTTTTACACTTACGCAACTTATAATTTTGAAAAGAAGAAAACTTTATGTATTACGTTATTAACGTTAGTGTTAAAATTGCTCTGCAACGTTCTAAGATGTAGAATATAAATGTTTTTATATGGCTTTGTGAAATAAAAAGCGAATGTTTAGTAGAGTACATTGGAGATTGTAAAAAAATTGACTCTACAACCTTATATGTGAAATGAGTATAAATCTTTAAAGTTTAGAGACATTAACAATGATTAAAACAATAATGATGTTGCATTCGGTTGAAAGGTCATCACATTATTTTTAAATTAACACTTATACTATTCTCTATTTTGTCTGTAACCGTTAAATGACGAATATAAACGTGAAAAAAAAAATTAACAGCCATTATTTTTCCTTTTATTTAGGGAAAAAACCTTAATGAAAAATATAGGAAAACGGATTACAGTAAACCATTTGTCCAACAAAACAAAGGAGTTTTACATATGTCAGATGATCTTGGAACTAAAATTGAAGACCAGAACAAAGGAGTTTTACATATATCAGATGATCTTGGAACTAAAATTGAAGACCAAAACAATGAAAGCATTATGAAAATTATTTGCAAACATGCAAAATGTGATTACGAACGAGATAAAAAAAACTTTGACGAGGAAGATGGTACTCAGTTGAAAAGCTATGTTCAAGAAGGAGATGAAATAGTTGCCCAGGTATCACACGCGTTTAATTTAAAACATAATTTATATACTGTTTGTTTGTTTCAGTCATTTGTTTGTTTGTTTCGTTTCACATACAAAATAAAAATGCTCGCGCATTATACTATTTTTAATTCTATCTTTTATTTTTATATTTCTTAAAATTTATAATAGTTTTTACCATGTCTTTCGATCAAAAAATGGTAGAAAAAAAAAGGAGAGTATTCAAGCTTGGTTATTTACTTTTGTTCATTTGCATAAAATGTACAAAATAATAAAAAAAAATTATTTATACTACTTTTTTTTTTATTGTTGTTGTTGTTTTCACTGCTTGTTTTAAACCACTTTTTTGTGTAGGTTTACATGAGACAGAAACTATTTAAAATGAATTAAAAACCGCATCTTTATTGTTTTTTGATATTTTTTTAAACTGTAAAACGTTTAAAAAATAATGGGCTTTAAAACTTTATATGACCGTATCTTTTAGAGTACAAAAATATATTTTAACTAAAGTAGAAATCCAATAAATATTATGATCCTTTAAAGCAATTTTTTTTATTTTTAAATTAATTTTTCTCAACTGAGTTTAATGCCGGATCAAGGAGGGGGCTATAGCCCCGGCCCGGCAAATTTAGGGGCCCCCCAAAATTTTAGAGGACCTTTTTTTTTTTTTTTTAGTCATTTTTAGGCTCTGGCCTATAAAAAGGCCTCCAAAAACAAAAATAGCCCCGGGCTCCAAGAAGTCTTTATCCGCCACTGACTGAGTTTCTCAACTATTTTGTACGATATTTTTGAAAACCTATTTAGTATGCAAAATGTTCCTCAACTAACACAGAAATAACTAACAAAAATTTCAAATTAAAAATTCAGACATTATTAAAAAAAAATTCGAAATAATGATAAGTTAGAAAAAAACTAAGTTCTTTAAACTATCTTTAGATTTCCTCAGGCTTTTATTTAATTAAGATCTTTATAAAAAAAGTGCAATTTTTTTTACAAAGATCGGTACAATAGTGTTTTTAAATTCACCACTATTATAGTCAAACGTAACTACAGTTTTTTTTTGAGAAGAGTCTTTCAAATTTTCATCATTGAAGAGGTGATTAACAGTTTTACTATGATTATGTTCATGAAGATGGTATTCAGAGGTATTAAGATGGTATTAAGATGGTATTCAGATGGTATTAAGATGGTATTAAGATGGTGTTAAGATGGTATTAAAATGGTATTCAGATGGTATTCAGATGGTAAAAATTTACTTATATTTGTTTACAGTCAATTTTGTATCTAACAGGCATGGCTTTGTGATATTTTTAAAATAATACCTTTGCATGTGAAGTTTTGCTATCAAATTGGTATTTTCCTTATTCATATGACAGTGATTCAAAAGTCCTCGGAACATTCTTTTTTTCTTTGGCATGCTAGAATAACAACTTAAGTATTTTTTACAGTAGTATACATTTACATATATATGTTTAACAAATCCTTACATATTTAAAATTCAAAATGGCAGCCTTGGTACATTTTAAGGCCTTACTTGAGGTACATATTACGCGATTTTACAGTGACAAAAATTTCAAATCAAAAGTGGTACAAACTAAAAAAGATTTACTTTAATAATATTTATTGAAATATTTGTTTATAAAGATTTCAAAATTTGTTATTTCTTTTTTTTACTTGTTTGTTCATTTATTTGTTTATTGTACTGAACTATTGATAAAAAAAATTTTCACTCTTTTGTTGGCATTGATGTAGGACAGGGATTTCTAAAGGTTGACACGAACGTATTTATCGCATCAGAATCAGATTTTAAACAAGAAACTAGAAATAATAAGGGGTTAACGAACTGATTATAGTAGGCATAAATTAAAAAGTAAATGAAAATTTAAAATCACTTGAACATATACATATATGTTCAACAAATCCTTTATAAATCCGACAATGATCCTGATTAGTTTGAGGTTGGAGTCCAATATAAACTTGAGTTAAAGTTATTGAAAAAGTGATTTTAAATGCCATTTTGAATTTTTAATACTCGTAACTATTGTCAAGAACAAAGATTTTCTGTTTTGTATAACTAGTAAAATGTGCAGTAATAACTATCATTTTCCTACCAAAATATAAGCTATAAGCTGTTTAAAAAGATGACAGCAGCAATTCAAACCTGTTTAGAATCTTGCAGCTTTAAGTGTTTTGTGACAAGACTAAGTCTTCTTGGAGAATCTTAATTACCAAATTACAAATATATATATATATATATATATATATATATATATGTATATATATATATATATATATATATATATATATATATATATATATATTATATATATATATATATATATATATATATATATATATATATATATATATATATATATATATATATATATATATATATATATATATATATATATATATATATATATATATACAGTGTTGACGAAAAGTATTGCAACTTTTCCAAATTTAACATTTTTATAAAATTCGAAATGAATTTGATGTTTATATATCATATATTCATTCAAAAATGATAAAACCAAACAGCAACACACTATGTAAACATAAAATTATGACGTCATTATAGTTAAACGTGCTGCGTTATAGATTTTTCTTACGAAACCATACTTTGGAATAGCATAGAAAATTTTCATTTTTTTTGCTTTTTGAGAGCTATAGTTTAATCATAATGGGTCTGGCAAAGAAGGTTTCACCAAAAAAACGTGCGATTATTATTCAATATTCGAAGTATGGTATGAAGCAACGAGATATTTCTAAGAAATTGTGTTTAACTTAGTCTTTAGCTAGTCGAATAATTAAGAAACACAAAACTTCCGGGTCAGTATCACCACTGAAACGTTCTGGACGACCCAGAGTAACAACAACACGTAATGACTCTTTACTCTGGACGCTCTGCAGTCAGAAATCCGACTTATTCAAGTCTTCAAATAAAACTAGACACTGGTTGCGGTGCGAGTACACAAACAATACGTGACCGACTGTGTTCGTTTGGTTTAAGAGCTCGACGTCCATCCCGCAAACCTCTGCTATCTATGCAGCAGCGACAGAAAAGAGTTCAGTTTTGTAATAAATATAAGGACTGGAATGCAGAAAGTTGGTCCAAGGTGTTGTTTTCCGACCAGTCTACATTTCTGCAGTTTGGATCTGCCACGCAGTATGTACGTAGACCAGTTGGATCTCGAGATGATATTCGTTACACCTTGCCGACAGTTAAACATTCACCCCAAGTTATGGTTTGGGGATGTTTTTCAGCAATGAGGCGAGGGTCTCTATACTTTATACCAGAAAAACAGATGGTAAACTCCGTTGAATACCTAAAGATTTTAAATTCAAAACTACCCCTAGCCATGCGCTTGCATTGTTGTGAACAGTTTCAACAAGACTCGGCACCATGCCATATAAGTCGAGTTGTAAAAAAGTGGCTAACTGACAATGGGATTCAAGTTCTGAACTGGCCAGGCAACAGTCCAGAAAGAAAAGTAAGAAAATATTACAGTAAAAGCATTGAAGAACTCATTTACAACATTAAGAAGGTGTGGTGCACCGAAATCACCCCGCATCTTTGTCAAAAACGGGTTCAGTCAATGCCAAACCGTATCAAATGTGTGTTGAAAAACCATGGACAGCCTTTTAAGTACTAGATATTTATATATGAACACTTCTTTTAATAATACTCTTGTGTATTTGTTTAATGTGTGTTTTTTTTAAAAAGTTGCAATACTTTTCGCTAACACTGTATATATATATATATATATATATATATATATATATATATATATACATATATATATATATATATATATATATATATATATATATATATATATATATATATATATATATATATATATATATATATATATATATATATATATACATATATATATATATATATTAGAGAAATAACTATTTAGAGACAACGTACTTGGAGTTTTATTTATCACAAAGTTCATTATTTGTACACAAAAATTAATAAATTAATCAGAAGTATTAAAAAAATTTGATTTCCTTCTGGACGAAACAACTGCAACTCCACAAAATAATGACCAAGTTGATTTCGCTATCAATATTTCGTAGCGAATTGTTTGTTGTCAATCACAGCCTTGCATCTTCGAGGCATAGATTCGATCAGATGATCAATGAAACTTTGTGGAATCGCTGCCCAGGCTATTTGGATTTGTTCAAACAGTTGATCCTTATTACGAACACCTTCACGATTAATTCTGCGGTTGACGATCTCTCACAAGTTCTCGATAGGGTTGAGATCTGGAGATTGAGGCGGCCAATCCATCACCGATAGGTAGTTGTCTTGAAACCACTTCTTGACTACTTTTGCAGTGTGTTTCAGATGGTTGTCTTGCTGAAAAACCCATTTTATTGGCAAGTTCAATTCAGCATGAGGTAACATACCATCTTTCAGGATATTTTTATACATGACACGGTCCATTATTCCATCAATTAGATGTATTGGACCTTTAACATCAGCAGAAAAACATCCCCAGACTATTACATTGCCTCCACCATGCTTCGCGGTCTTATGCCAGTAACGTAAATCGAGGCGTTATCCGGGCGGTCGAAGTACACGGCAAATGCCATCGCTCCCAATAATGTTGAACTTCAATTCATCACTGAACAGGACAGTTCGCCATTTCTGCACATTCCAGTCAATATGAGATGTAGCAAACAGAAGTCTTTTCTTTTGGTTCTTTAGTGAAATCAGCGGTTTCTTTGCAGGATGTTGAGAAAACAATCCGGCTTCAACAGCACGTGGTCTGATTGTTCGGTCCGATACAGGCAGCTCTAATTGCTTTTGTATCTCGACTGATAATATCCAGGGATCCTTCTTAACGGATCTTACGATCATAGAACCCTCTCTAGAAGGGGTGGAACGCAGTCTTCCACCTTTGTTATCTGCTGCCAACTTCCAGTAGAACGATATTTGGAACATAGTCTTGATACGGTCCATTTTTTCACGCGATATTTATCACAAATACTTTTTTGTGACATTCCACTTACGTAATCGCCAATAATTTTCTTTCTTAGTTCCAATCCAAGACTGTTGGGAGCCATTTTTGCACTTGAAGTTATAAAAATAATAAAAATAAATAATCACGCTTCTCAAGGCTTACCGTGTTACATTTACCGTGTTACATTTATATATATATATATATATATATATATATATATATATATATATATATATATATATATATATATATATATATATATATATATATATATATATATATATATATATATATATATATATATATATATATATATATATATATATATATATATATATATATATATATATATATATATATATATATATATATATATATATATATATATATGCATTATAACAAACTGTCCTACTCAGCCGGCATATGGCTCTAAAAAGACGTCTTTTCAACGTTCAAAAGACGTTAAGAACGTTTTTTGAACGTTTATAAGACGTCTTTTTAGGACCAAATGCCGGCTGGGCAGTTTAAACAAACAATCTGAAAATTATTCAGTAACTCTTTGGTTTAGGAAAACTTTATTTTGTAGAAATAAAATTTATCAACTATAAACATAACATAACTATTTAAATCAAATTTCAACACAATATATTTCAAAAAACTTAAAAGATACGACATTATATAGTTTAAAAACCACTCATTTTTTTAACATTTACGGAGAGAGATAAATGGTTTATTGGAAAAAAAAAAAAAAAAAATATGCGGTTTTCAATTTTTTTAAAAATTTTTTCTTATCTCAATCTGAATAAAAAGAGCGGTTTAAAAAGTTTAAAAAATTTTAAAATTGAAAATAAATTTATTAAAAGTTAAAGCATTTTAAAAAGTCTAAATTGAAAATAACTTCAAATGAAATCCTCTAAAAAAAGGTCTAAATTGAAAAAATAAAATAAAAATATATAAAAAAATAAAAATCCTCTAAAGCGTTTTTATGCTTTTTAAAATTTTAAAGATTTTTAAATGTTTGGCTTATAACTTCTAAATGCTTTTCAAAGCAAATTTTTTATTAGAAATTTTTTTCATTGTTGATTTTTTGAATATATATTTTTATGTATATTGTTTAAAATTAGCTTCGTATTCTTAAAATATACTCTTGCTGCTTTTTTTTATTAATAACAGATTGGAATAGGAAACGAAAACGATGCTGAGAGTTTCATGTCGGGAAAAAAATTAACTGATGATTTGTTTTCTCAAGCACGTATTAATTCACACCAGGAAACATCAAAAACTGATATCCTTAAAACTCCTGGTTCATCTAAAATGATTTATTTTTCTCCTGATATTGTAGCTCAAGCAACAAAGCTAGATACTACAGAATACCATTTGCCCATTGATACTACAGAGCGCCATTTACCGAGTAAACTCTATATTAACAATATTAAAAAGACGCCAAAACAAGAAAAAATAGTTTCTTCACTTAAAGAAACCAATGAAACAAACAAAAGCATTCTAATGGAAGAAAAAATAAAACAACTTCCAAAAATTACAGACCGTTTTCTTTATATTAGAAATAATAAATCTAATGTGTCGAGGAATACTGAAGTTGCTCAAGAGCCAACCAAAACACTACTTGAAGCAATTAAGATAATTCGGAGCAATCCTTTATTAAAAGTATCACGTGTGGAAATTGTTAAATCAGATGGAAACTTATCAAAACCTATTCGAATAGCAACAATAACTCGTCATGCTAAAAAGCAACCGGTTTCACCAGCTGTTTCATCACCAGTTTCACATGTTGTTTCATCACATTTTTCATCAGCTGTTTCATCACCAGTTATACGTGTTGTTTCACCACCTGTTTCATCTGCTGTTTTATCACCAGTTTCACGTGTTGTTTTACCACCTGTTTCATCAGCTGTTTCATTACCAGTTTCACCTAATATTTCATCATCTGTTGATCTTGTAGTTTCAAAGGAAAACAAAACTGAAACAAATTGTGATTGTCAACTGTTTATAAAAATAATCAAAACTCCTGGTTGCATGGAGTTTTGCAAAGAAAAGGTCCTTTATGAAGAACAAGTTAAACAATTAAAAAATGACTCAACTAGTAAAACAAAAAATAAAGAACTTAAAAGCAGCTTTTCACTTAATGATGAATCGATATCACTCAATAACATTCAGAATCAGACAAGAAAAAACAACTCAAATGAGTTTCTTTTTAATCAAAATATAAACAATAAAAACAATGATGATAGTAGCAGATCATCCTACCTCAAAACTTCTGAAGAAGATCACAGTATTAACTATCGAATTCAAAATTTTCCTTCGTCTGAAAGTGAAAACATTCATTTATTGAATAAAATAAACGAAAATAACTTTTCAATTAAAAATATTTCTACAGAAAAAGAGCAACCCTTAATTTTAGGAAACAATTTTAAAGAGGATTTATCAAGCGATCGTATAAACATAATCAAAGAAAAAGAAATTAATGATTACGCAAAATCCAATATGGATTCTAATGCTACAAGTGTCTTATACACCTTAAAACCTTTTGTAAATAAAAATGGACAACAGCATGATGCCATATCATTATCACCTGATGTTTTGATAAAACCTGATTTTCTTCAAACCAATCTTCCCAATAAAGTTATTATTTTAAACGACAAAATTCCATTAAATTCTCTGACAATTTCTCCTATAGAATTTGTAAGTCATGATACATTGCCATCATACCCTATTGTTATCGATTCTACGTCTGAAATGGTTCAAGAACTACTAAAAAACTCTCATCCAATACCTCCACCACCATCAAAGTCACATTTTAATATTCATTCATTGAATAAGATACTTCACAACAATGGACCTGTTATTGTGGAAAATGGAAACTCAAATTTAATGGAAGAAGAAAGTGATAAAAGTTTTTCTGAAAACATGAAAGATTCAGAAAATGAAGACAAGGAAGAAGAGGATTTGGTGTATGACGATAATGAAGATATTGAGGATCAAGATAATAATCATGATAATGACGATGATAAAGAATATCATCATAACAATCATCTTTTATTAGGAGCTGGTGCATCTCTTTTGCATAAAAATTATGCAGAAGAACATGGTTCCGTTAAAACAATCATATCTAACGAAAACGGACAAGATGAAAAAGCGAATAAAGAAGAAAACAATGTAACTATTTTTATTTTGTTTTCATTACTTTTAATTATTTGCCTTAACTGTTAATTTTTTGCTTTAAGGCTTATAACAACCAAAACTTTGAAGAAGAAAAACATTGGTTACCTGAAGCAATACGCAATAATCAAAACTTCAGTGCACAGTGTTAGTTTAAATTTGTTTTAAATATTTAATAACAACAATTTTGTTTATATATATATATATATATATATATATATATATATATATATATATATATATATATATATATATATATATGTGTATATATATATATATATATATATATATATATATATATATATATATATATATATATATATATATATATATGTATATATATATCATTATAAATTATAAACTATTTGATTTGATTTCTAATTTTTGTATTCTTTATGTAAGAAGGAAGTAAATACAAAAATAAACTGTAAAAAAGTTCCTTACAATTTTTTAGTTTGTTCGTTTGTTTTTATACATTTTTAAAAGATACTTATTTTTCCTTCTTACGTACCAAATTTTTCATTTAAACATAACACACTTTTTGTGTTGTTATACAAATTGTCAAACGATCGTTTGACTATTTCTCTCAAAATGATTGTTATAAACAATAACTCCTTATTAAACTTTGAGTAACTTAAAGGAAACGTCATCGTAATAACACAGTGAATTTTTGAGCTTATGTGAATTTGAGTTTGGAAGTCAATACGATTTAAAGATATTTTTATATTTTGTTTGATCTTGTCAAGTTTTATTCCTTTTTCTTATACAAGTTATTATTATTAAATTATTATTACAGTTAAGTCCAAAAGCATTATCTTGAATTACTTAAGCTAGAGAATTTAAAATATATCAACCTACGAACTCACGAAGTTCTGCTCTTTCGTTACATTTATGGCGATGTATTTTTCGGTCTAATTTAAAAAAGCGATAAAGTAATTTATGATAATCTACGTGTAATTTTTAAAATTACTTTTAATAATTTTTTTATAGTGTACAAATGCGCCATAAAAAATCTTTTAGCAATTTTTAAAACTTATTTTACAGCTCAATGTTTAAATGGAGGTATAAATATACCAATTTCTAAATTTGAAACGCAATGTATGTGTCCGCATCAATTCTACGGCAAAACATGCAAAGGTAATTAAAAGCAATAATTCTTTTTCTAAAATACAATTATTCGACTTTCTGATTTTCATAATATTTATAATTTATACTATATTAATTTAAAGACTGGAATTTTTGTTACCCGAACCCTTGTTCAAACGGTGGTCAGTGTCAAATGATATCTGAAATACCAAAGTTCAAATGTCACTGCAAAAAAGCATATATAGGACATACATGCTCGGGTAATTTTAAGTTTGTATAACATCAAAAAGAAATACTTTAATAAAAATTGCTTTAAAAATTTATATACTTTATCTTAATAAGTTATTTTTTCATTCAGAATTTAACCCTTGTGATCCGAACCCATGTAATAATCATGGTACATGTTCACACGATGGTAAAACAGCAACTTGTACATGCACTTCAAGATTTAAAGGAGAAAACTGTGCAGGTGATTTCTTAAAAATAATTTTGTAAAACATTAAAAGTTATAAAACAGTTTCAGTTATATGCCAGTTACTTTGCTTGTTATTCAAATTAATCGAGGCTAGTTATGGTAACTTTTTCGTTTATTATTTAAATTATGTTAATTATTTTGCTTATTGTTTGAAATAATATCCCCTGATGACCCTTTTTTAAGTTATTGTAATTATTTTGCTTTTTACTTCAATTTTTAATGTTAGCTAATAAAAATACAATAAGAGTCAGTTTTAACAATCAAAGTTAAAGATTTGTTTTATATCTATATATTATTGCCAAACTTAATAGTTTTAGTTGTAGTAGTGGCCCTACGAATGTGTTTGACACGAAACCCTTGGCATCCACTTCAACCGAGGCAGTGGCGAGAAAGAGTCGCAGCACTTTTTTTTATATCAGAAAACGTGAGCGAAGGATATTTGTGCAAATGTATATGCAAAAATTACTTAAATGTTATGTAATGTTAAAACTAAAACATATACCAAGTTTAACTGTTTTACTTTCGCTTGAAAGCTGCAGCAACATCTCCTTAATTTTTATCTATAGCATTTCTTTCCGTCTTCTAAAATCTTTTATTTATTACATACTTTTCAAATTTTTAGTTGTCAATATGTGGGCATGGCCGAGCGGTTAGCTCGCAGAGCTTCAGAACGGAAAAGCACTCATTTAAATCCTACCACTGTTAACATTTTTTTAAACCTTTTTCAACTTTTTTAAAATACAAAATAAAACACTTTTGAAGTTTTATAGATATTATATACATAAAATAAAATATTATACACTATAACAAACGAAAAGATTTTTAATAAAGCTAAAAATTCTAAAAGCATCAAAATACCAGGTGAAATTTGTTGTGTATGTGTCATGATTAAGGTACTTATGTTATTAATATGCTCAGGTAATTAGTCCTAATAAACCTTGGATGGTCTGAAAAAAAATTTTGGTCTGAAACTGAAAGAAAAGCCCGTAGCTAGTTTTAGTTTATTATTTTTAGCTACTGATTTTATTACATGTTTACTGTTTTCATATAATTTAAAGCGATAGTTTTTTAAGCATTTACAATTATTTAACTGACCATTTAATACTGATCTTGAATCACAAGCTTCATCTGCAAACAACTAAACAGGTTTTATTTTTAAAAACTTTAATGTATCTGGTCTAAATTAAAGATGGTCTTGGTTTTCTATGTAGCATAAAAGTTTGTCATGGGTTTTAAATGCTTACTTTAAAAGTATTTTGAGTTTAGAATCTTCAAGTTTAAAAAAAATTGAAAATAACTTTTAATACGAGTTACTTTTTCAAAATAAAAACGTGATACTTAATGATAAATTATGCTTTAAAAAGGAAAATTTAATACTTTTTGTCTAATCCAATATATGTTCATTTTCAGAATTGAGTAACTGCTACCCAAACCCATGTAAAAATAACGGGCGTTGTGTGGACATGGATGGAAAGTTTAAATGTGAGTGTCAGAAAGGTTTTATTGGAAAAACTTGTGAAGGTACGGCAGTTTTTAATATATCCTTGATCCAAAGTTAAACTAAAAGAGTTCTTTTAAAAATATAAAAAGAGATTTTTTTAATCCTTTATAATCTGAAATCTCTTTTTTTATATAGAAGACGATGTGTGTGCCAAAAATGTTTGTCAAAATGGAGGATCTTGCATAGTCAATGGTACTTCGTATTCCTGTCAGTGTGCGCAAGGATTTGTAGGAAAAGTTTGTCAAGGTTATTTCTTTGTTCTACAAAAAAAAAAACGTTTGTTTACATTATAACACTTTAAAGCTAAAAAACAAACAAATAAATCAATATTCTTATTAACATACAGCTTATTAATACAATTTAATCTGAAAATATTTCATTTAGATCGGGTTTGCGTACCAAACCCTTGTAACCATGGTGGCATTTGCATTCAAAGAGAAAATTCTATGTTTGCATGTTTATGTCCGTCTTGGGCCGCTGGTGTGACTTGCGAAGGTATTGATTAATATTTTTTAGAGCAATGAGCTAATAGAATTTATAGATCATCCTTTAGAATTGGTAACGATTCTTTTTTAGATGTAAGTCCATGTAGAATGAACCCTTGCAAAAATGGAGCCAGATGCATAGATGCAATGTCTGGATTTCGGTGGACATTAAAACCTATGCAATACTTTTGTGACTGCAAATCCCCATTTAAAGGAGCTCATTGTGAAAGTAGGTCTTTTATTTGTATAAAAATTACAAACAGAATTGTTGTTAAAAATAAAATTTTTAAAATGAATAAATAATATGATGAGTTGAAAAATTAAAATAGATAAAAAACTTTATCCACTTTAATCTAATAAAACTACATCGTGTATTTGTGGAAGATGTAAGATGACAAACTTTCATTAATATTTTGTCACTTTATTTCTTTTATCATAATGGTTTATTACCTGCATGAGTTTTGAGTTTGCAAGAAAAAAATTTGTAACAAAAATTAAATCGCAAAATTTATAAACTTGTCATCACGCAGGAAGGAAGGGGGGGGGGGAAGAGATCATCTTATCACGGAGGGGGGCGAATCCAGCATTTTATGGTCTTCGAATATTATTTAAGTTAGGATGATAAGAAAGCTTATGAACGAAACCTGATTTTAACAATGCTTCGTTATACATGTCAGAAGAACTTTGAAAAATTTCTTCGCTTGAAGAATTTGCAGATAATCTTAACTCGATAGAACGCGAAAGTTGTTTTAAAATACTGAGTGGTGGTTTGAATCAACGTGAATATAGTTTAAAGAGTTTCCGAGTTTTGAACACGGTTGTAAAGTGCGGTTATTGAGATTTAGCGTGATGTCTAGATAATTTACAGTTTTCATGTTGCACTTTGTTGATATAAGAAAATCGTTTTGTTTAAATATATCGACAACACGTTTTATATTTTTTTCCATTTCAGGTATATATACCAGGGTGATGGTTTAGCGGTTTTTGGAAATAGAAGTGGACCTGAAATGGAAAAAATTAAAAAACATATTGTCGATATATTTAAACAAAACGATCTTCTTATATCAACAAAGTGCAACATGAAAACTGTAAATTATCTAGACATCACGCTAAATCTCAATAACCGCACTTTACAACCGTGTTCAAAACTCGGAAACTCTTTAAACTATATTCACGTTGATTCAAACCACCACCCAGTATTTTAAAACAACTTTCGCGTTCTATCGAGTTAAGATTATCTGCAAATTCTTCAAGCGAAGAAATTTTTCAAAGTTCTTCTGACATGTATAACGAAGCATTGTTAAAATCAAGTTTCGTTCATAAGCTTTCTTATCATCCTAACTTAAATTCAACTCATGCTAAGCACCGTAAACGCAACATTATTTGGTTTAACCCCCTTTCAGCAAAAACGTTAGCACAAATATAGGAAAAAATTTTTTATTCCTTATCGATAAACACTTCCCTGTTAATCACAAACTCCATAAGATTTTCAATAGAAACACGATAAAAGTAAGTTACAGCTGCATGCCAAATTTGAAATCTATCTTAAATGCACACAATCGTCATGTTTTAAACAACAACAAAATTTCCAGTAAAAGCAATTGCAATTGTCTTGATAAAAAGACCTGCGCTTTGGCAAACAAATGCCTGGCAAATAACATTGTGTACCAAGCTAATTTAACCTCCAATGATCCTGCCCAAACTTCTATAAACAAATTTTACATCGGTATAAGTGAAACACCTTTCAAAATTAGGTGCGCTAATCACATAAAATCATTTAATATTATCAGGCATAAAAATGACACTGAGTTATCAAAGGAGTTTTGGAAATTAAAGAAGCTAATTTGAATCCTATAGTTAAATGGAAAATATTTAAACAGTCCAATGCTTATAACCCTACGAAAAAATCTTGTAATTTATGCTTAAATGATAAATACGAAATTTGATTCTCTAGAAACCCAAACTTATTAAATAAAAGGAGTGAAATAATATCTAAGTGCAGGTATAGAAACAAATTTTTTCTGGCTTATTTCAATACCATCAATTAATCCAGTTTCTACGTTACTTTTTGTTTTGATTTGACGTCAGAACCCATTATATATTTTTTGTATTTTGTATTTTTAACGGTTTTTCTTAATTAAAAAAATATATATGGCTGATGATTGCCGAAAGAGCATGAAACTTTAAGTTCCATCATAAAGTTGTATTTTTTCATTTAGTTAAAATTTTATATATATATATATATATATATATATATATATATATATATATATATATATATATATATATATATACACACACACACACACACACACATATATATATATATATATATATATATATATATATATATATATATATATATATATATATATATATATATATATATATATATATATATATAAGATGTGAATATAATAAGTATGAACGTTGACTTGTAAAAGGAACAACTCAAATAGTAAGATATCTTATTTCTTGTTACTTTATAGAGAAATACGCTGTAAATATACAACAATTTATATAGCATAAAAAAAACATAAGAAAAGTCTAAAGTGTAAGAAAAAAAATCTGTGCTTGATAAAAAATTGATAAGTTGCATATCCTCCTTGATTTCTTGGTTGTTTATGTGTACACCAAACATCAAACCTACGCATTGTTTAGTGGTCAAGGTTGTCAACACCGTACAAATAATTCATTGATTGATGGCAGTCACATTAATTTTTTATTAGTGAAAATATGTGTCATGATTGCAGGGTGAAGTCCGAGTATTTAAAAATGGTGACTTTTTATTTTTTATAGAGAAACGGTTTATCAAGAGTGATAAAATATAATCCATGTTAGGCACTAATGAACTCTAGGTACGTTAGGTAATAATGAACTCTACTTTGTGCTTTCATAAAAAAAACTTGATAGCTTAGTTGTACAAATTGCATTGCAAACTTATTGAATGATTTCAATTGAGATCATTAACGACAATGCACAGAGCAGTGAACAAAAGCTGCGTTTGAAAAAACATTGCGTATTTGCCCTTAACCCCGCCTCCCTTGCCTTCCTTACCAACCATTGCTAAACAACTATATTTTTCTTTTCTTCTTATTATTTTGATTTATTTTGTAATTTCTAGTCCTTATTTATAGAAATGATTGAAGTAATAAAATCTACAATCTCAAAACCCTTTATATTTGTACCAGTTGATGTAACCTCTAAATATCTTCAAGGATTTTAAATTTACGACAAGACTTTTATACAAAACCTAACGCAAAATATAACACTGAGCAACAAGTATAAACCCCCTCAAATAAAATCTTTATAAATTTTGACATTCTGATTCCAAAACTAAAATCAGAATATTTCTATCACACCATTTGATCATGATGGGATTAAGTCGATGTTTATACATCTGGTTTTCTCGATTAAGAAGTCATAATGGAATCTTTTCTCTTGTTCTTCACTTACTGCATTTAAGTTTGAAAGTAAAATTCCAGATGTTAGTGCAGAAAATTCATCTTAAGTTACATTTACCAAGAAGTAAAAGAATACCTATTAAGTAGTTATAGGTCTTTTACAAAGTCGTCAAGGTTGTCGTCAAGATTGTCGTCAAGATTGTCGTCAAGATTGGCCTAGTTTAAAAGTGAGGTTTATTTTTTCCGATTCTTCTTCATAAGAAGCATCTTTTTGGTCTGTAACATTGAGTTTCAATCTTACATCTCTGAATCTGTGAAACTAATTTCAGAGCTGACGGAACAGTCTAGATACATTATGGCTGATTTATTTTTCGTGATGAATTATGCTGTGTTGGTAATGTAAAAGTACTAATCAAACACATGATTAGTTGGTTAACACCGCACCATAAAAAAGCATTGAACTTTTCAATCAGGTAGCCATTGTGTTAGCCCAGAATATCATGTTGTGTAACACTTATGAGGGTTCAACTATTTATCCTGGTCACAAAATTTTATGCTAAAATAACTTTGATATGCTTTGAGTTCCTGGGCTTAGTTTTTACTTTTATCTTTTGTAGTGAACATTTCACAATAGTAACAAAAACTCTCCAGCATACTATACATATCAATGTCCAGCATTACATACACTTTAAAAGCAATCGTATCAGAAAACACAGCCTTTCATATATATTAGCAAGCAATAAAATGATTTGTATTCTGATCAACAAGCTTTTTTAATATCAGCAGAAAAAACCTACAGAAAAAAAATAATTTTTTTACCAGTGTAATTGTTCAGTTGATAAATCAGCTGTTTGAAAAACATTTAGACTTTTTTAACAATTTGCATCAGTATTAACTCTAGGAAAAGTTCTATTAACTTTTTCTAGGTCCTATTTGATGTATAACGTATATTATTATATTATTATAATCCATAGTCTGCAGATGTATAGAAATACAACTGCAGACTATGGATTCATAGCCATAGTCTGCAGTTGTATTTCTAATTCTTTGTCACCAGCTTCCACTTAAATTTGAAACTATCATTAAACTTGCCTCAAAGAACAATCTCTGTGTGCTACAAAAGGTTAGGTTAGAAGAACAATGTCTGTGTGCTACAAAAGTTTAGGTTAGAAAATTAATACCTGTGTGCTACAAAAGATGATAAAGTGCAAATCTTATCCTCTTTTGTAAAAAAAAAATCCTCAATTTTCTAAAATTTGTTGTGAGTAGATTTATTTATTTGACTTAAGATATGTCTATATAAATTTTGCAGCATCCTGGTGCATCTTTGAGTCTTATGCTCAACAAATGGTTTTAAACATTTTGTACAAAACTGTTGTACTTTATAAATGCTGATGTAATGAATGAATACTTGTATCAACAATGAACAGGCTGCGAGAAAAAAGATATAATAAACACTTACTGGGTTTATGAGTAGGCGATACGACATCAAAAAGTTGATTTAATGACTGGATGTATTGATCTACTTCATCAATACCACTGATCTAAGTTCATCAATACCACTTGATTCATTTTAAGTTCATCAATACCACTTGATTCATTTTAAGTTCATCAATACCATCTGTTTCACTTTAAGTTCATCAATACCACTTGACTCACTTCAGCTTCATCAATACCATTGCCAAAGAGAACTGATTTAAATGTTTCTCTGTTTACTGCTAGGCATACAGATGTGAATAAATGACTGGTTTGATCTGTATTGACAATGACAGCAGTTTGGATTTCCGGTGACGCGTCACCGTCATGACGGTTATGCTACTAATAA